CTGCAAACTCACCCTCGTCTCCCAGCCATTCGTTCCCCACTGTTCAGAAACAGAAGTAGAAGTTAACTTCCTCAAAGAAAGAGAGAATTGATCCCGCAGAATTTAGGCAAACAAATCCTATGCCTGCAGAGGGGTTAACTGAAGTCAGTGGCATTGTTTGTGTACATTGGATTTGGGGGATCCAGCGCTAAGGGCAATGCTAGGCTTCAGCTAGTTCCTGGCCTATGTGATTAACCTCCATTCAGGTCCCCTCAGGGCCAGATCCCATAGCGTGTGCGTAGCACACAGAAGATGTGTTGCATTGACTTCCACAGAAGTAGAGGAACTGAACACATCACTGGATGCATTCAAGTTTGCGCTTGACAAGATGGGACTCCAAGTACTTAAAGCTAGCATAAGTGATAATGCACTATTATAACTGTTATCTTGTTAGATGGCTGAATACGATTCCATATACACTGGCCAAATTAATCTTCTAAAAGCTCTGATTCTGTGGGGATTGGTGTGGAAAACCCTAAAAAAAACCCCATTGGGTATTGCATGGTACCCCTGTAAACTCAATGGAGCACTACTTGGATAAAGAAATTACAGGCATACTGAGCTGGAGTAAATTGAGTCTCCAGAAAATGTAGAAGATTTAAGTGTGTTTAGACACCAAATATCGACATGTAGAAATTTCAGCCTCTGGAATTTTTAATGGAAGAAAGTAGCTTAATCACTCAGTATATTTCGCAACTTTAGCTGAAAGTTTAACATCACAAAATGACATATTGCTATGCAGCTTTAAGAATCACACAATTGTATTCAATCATTTCCCATGTTTTTCAAGTCTGCTGTTCATTAAAAACTCTTGTTTGAAGTTTCCAGTTTTCCAATGGATGACACAACCGATGCATAGCTTAATGTTCATTTTCATGGGTCATAATTAATAAATAATCATATCACATACATAGAATTTTACAGGTACTCTTAAAATGGTTTTACAGTTCTATTAAATATATAGATAAAATAATCACTGCTATATAAAAAAATCATTTTAAAACAGCTGAACTCTAAAGCTTTGCATAAAATTCTGTAGACACATTCATTACAATCTAGAAACTCAATAAAAATACATTTTAGAGCTCAATCCATCAAAAATATTCATGGCATTGAAAAGTGATTGTCATTTTACTGTAATCTGTGCATGCCCTATGTTTGCACTGATAATTTCCTCCAATTTGGCAAAGGCTATTTTCAATTCAGTTTGTAGATTGTGTGACTGTTTAACTCGTTTCTTCAACTCTAAGACATCTGCCCCATAAATGTTGTCTTTAATAGCATATCTTTCCTTGCACTTTCTATAAAATCACAATGAAACATTTTGCAGTAAAGTTACATGACTGCAATAACATTGAACCATCCTATTATAGTTGTCTCTCAGTCTTTAAAGGTGCTTCTGTGAACACAAAACGTCCCTTATCCAGTGATCCTCAAGCACTTCCTGACACACTTCACAATACTCTGCTCCCACACATTTGCTCAACAACAGTTTTAGAAATGGTCTTAACAGATCGGTACCCTTGTGTATCTGAATTCTGCTGCTAAATCAAAGTACCAAACATGGTCAGTTCAAACTTAGCATTTTTCAAAAACCCAGGCAAAAATTCAGCAAAAACTTCCTTATTCTGACAGTGCACATATCCATTGGAAAATGGATAGATGATAGATTGCCCACCAGCCTTTAAAACCTCTGCTCCCTCAAGTCAGTTGTCTGGCCAGTGAGTTAAAACAGGCTTTGCCATAGTGAGGGCTTCACAATCAGCCTTTTTTAGACTGTAAGCTGAGAATAGGACACAAAGTCCAACAACAAGCAATGTTTTCGGGATAGTGTGCTTGCATTGAGGGATTGGTTCTTGCTCTGTGGAAGAAGAGATGCAGGCTTACAAGTCATTTTAAGTGGGGGAAGCTGCTGCTTCTGCAGGTGTCATTTTTTGTAGTTCCAAGTAATGGCAAAACTCTTGAAGAGTTCAGTCCCTTTCATGCACAGTTGACCATACCAGTATAATCACTTAACTCTTTACCCTGGATCTTCTTACCCATGGAATGGCTATGGTAGCCTGCTTCTGTTATAGCAAAAAAAACCCCAGCAAACCCAAATACGGAAAGCAACTTAATACCAAGTATCATGGACTAATTTAGTATTTGTTTTCATCTATTTTGCGTGGAAGAAACAATCTCTGTCTCTTCATGGGATAGGCTGGAAAGCGTACATCAGTTTAAACATTGGGTGAGATGATCAAGACAATTGCTGGGTGCTGTTTGAAACTTAAACTGCCCATTTCACTGTTTCAGTCACTGTTCAGCAGTGGGAGACAAGAAAGAAAACCCTGGGTTTCCTCCCTCTTGGAAGAAATTACTGTGTAACGAAATTGCCAGCACCACTGCATTCCTATTCACTTTTCCATTCTTTGTGGGCATCGGTTGCTTAGATGAGACTTCCAAAGACCTCCTTATTCTGATTCATATTCTTGCGAGGAAGGAGAGAAGACAACAAGAAGGAAGCTTATTTTATTTGATTTAACTTTGATAGCTGTAAAGTTCTAGGAAGAGACTGTAATTCAACTCCAGATAACCTCTGCTGAAGACTAAGAAACGTGGAAGAACCAGAGAACAAGACAGAGGCTCAGAAAAAGTTGTCATAAATCAAAGGAGCCTATGAAGACTGGCACATAATGAAGAGCTGTCAACACTTTTGCTCCAAACTAACGTACATTGCTCCTTGCTAAATAGCAGCCATGCCCCAGCCTAGTATTCAATGGTTTTCAGGATGAAGATAAAAAGTTTCTTGTATTAAGTTTTATTTTTTCAAAGAAAACGTACCAGAGCTTCAATGTTATATTTTAGCCTACTTCAAGAGAGCATCTTCAAAAATTCTAACACAGGTTTTCTTCTGGAAGAAAGTATCACAGTCATCATCAGCAAGCACAAACAGGTTCATGCATCACAAAGCAGTTGATTCAAAACTCTGAAGAATATTTTCATTAGCAAGATGAAAGACTATTTTTTTTACTTATGTTGATATACACAGAATTAAGTTGAGAAGTTTGGATCTGTTCCTCACCAAGCACAAGGGATCTTATTTTTAGGTTCATGAGGTGAATCCAGCTTTAGTCAACGGTGACGAGACAGAATAGAAAAGATTTCAGCTTTCTGTTGACTGAAAGAGATGCAGATTTTTACCTTCAATGTTTGAGATCTCCTGCCATGCACTGCTGCTATTGAATTCTAACTGCAGCTTGGAAGAAAAATCCCAGGGAAACAAAAAGCTTATAAAGAAGAATTAAGTGTGATGGATGGTTAGTATTACCCCAGCAGACGACTTGACTGCAAAGAGGTTTTAAATACCTGCAAATAAATTGCTATATAGTCTAATGTGTTCTGACACAAAGTACTATTCGTTCAGCTGAAAACTAAGAGGGCAGAGACACACATGCTAAAACAAAACATGTAAAACTTATAGCCACATGTTGTAACTTTCACTCAATGAAAATTATGAAACCTCTCATTTTATGAAGCACATTGCATTCAACCTTAGCAATTTTCAAGTGGAAGAAGCAACATGACGTAATCTCATAAAGCATACCATGAAACTGAAAATGTCCCAATGAAAAATAGTGACTTCACTAAAAGTCACACAGAGAAAAGTTACTGCAATTAAAGCCTTCTCTTTTCTCCTGTAATGCACAGGTACACCTCCTCTGGCAACAATCCTAAATCCAATATCCTAAAGTGATCACTGATGTGGACAAAAATTACAAGATGGAGAAGAGGCTCAACTGTGTCTACGGACAAGCCACATGAGTCTTCAGTTGCACTAGAAAGTCAATACCAGCTGTCAGCATTTCGCTATATTTACATTTACATCTGTCATTTCTTTCTCCATTGATTCAGGCACTTATAGGATGTTTCTAATCCTTTTACCATGCACTCATGCCTTAAGACAAGCTTCAGCAAATTAAATTACCTATTATTTTTTGTATCTTCAGAAAAGAGAAATCTTCATGTGATCTAGTAAGTAAAAGCAGCAGAGAAAAAGAAGCAGAAGCAGCCTCAGGAGGAGTAAGGTACTTTAAAAAAACAAAACAAAACAAAAACTATGGTTTTGGTATCTATTCGTGATAAAACTATTAAGCTTCTTGAACATCTTTTCAGAGATGGCCACCATCAGTAATGTAGAAAAAGGGTATTTCTTCAGGTATTCTCTACAGAATTTTCTGGGCTAAGATTTCCTGTATGATCCCTCCTAAGAAGCAGCTAGCATGTATGTTCTTCACAGTTCTCCACATCCAATTTATTCCTGCAAATTAAACATAACAAAAGGTGCAAGATAAAGATGAATTTAAAACCTAAAAAAACAAACTCCCCTACCCAAATAAACCTTCAACCTGATTTTGTTGTTCCACCAAACTGCCATTAGAATTGTCAATTCCTGGGGTCAGCATGTTCCACCACCTGCAGTTCTGCTCTACCTACAGCTCTCTCAAAGAATTCCATGGAAAAAGTGAAAAAGCATTTCAAGCCTTGCCCCTGGAGCTGGAGGTGGGCCAGATTCATGGGCAAGTCACCACTACCCCTCTTCCACAGCTGTTAGGCCCTACATCCCTGCCTAAGTAAATGAAGCCAGAAGAATAATTTTTGAAGACTAGAGCTCTGAATTGTTTATATTTCTACTGATAATTATCTGGTTTTATTTAGCATCTTATAAAGCAAGGCACAAATGTACAAAATTGCATCTACTAAATCAGGTAATTTTTATATATATTTACACAATTACCATAATATAAAATGTGCTTAGACACTGTCATAGCACAAGTAAAGGAACTGAGAACAACCTGATAATAAACACAAATACCAGGTCCTACATTTCTGTTTGTGCTTCACCTGAAGGAACTTAATTCATATGCAGATACACAAAGCAATCCAGCCACCATCATTTTTTTTTCCACACCTCACAGAGATCAAACTTTCTTGCTAAGAAGCTGTGGAAGGAGTAAAAGGCAGTAGACAAGGACCCAGAAGAAAATGATGAAGTAGAATAGTTCTGGCTGCTCAACAGTCGTAATCTCATGAGTTGATGCTGGAGTCTCACTTGCTTCTAAGTCTTTTTTCGTCCTGAAAGCAGGAGAAAATTTGATAAGAGGCACGAAAAAGAAGAAAAAACACTCACTGTTAATATTTCCTGTAAAGATCAGAGAGTGGAATAAAAGACAGTGGCTAAATGAACCATTTCAATCTAGTCAGCTGGAGCCCAAGCTAGCTTATGAGGTGCACGATGGGCTTTAGCAGCAGGTTTCCCTAGGAGCCAATGTACATAGCAATTAATCCTCTGAAAACGCTGGCCAAATTCTCAGGTAGTTTAAACGCATGCCATTACAGCACAGTCCTTTGACGTAAGATGACTTCCGTCAGTCAAAAAGATGCCCTTTTTATATTCAGAACCCTAAACATAGCTCTGGGCAACACATACCACACTTCCACAAATTTACTTATACACTGTATCCGACTTGATATACTCTCCCCAAATCATCAGCTTTCAGAGATTCTCATGTCAGACACCAGAATATTAAACAGAAAAAGCCCAAGACTTCCAGAAACCAAGTAGCAGTCTGGGATTTTGTAGGACAACTCCAAAATTCCAGCTTTCCAAAATTGCAGCTTCATAAAGGCAAAGCCTCTTGGACTCTGCCAGCACCACAGAGCACTCACAAAGACAAGAAAAGGTCTTATTTAAAAAGGCACAGGATGTTACACTCATTTTAGAATTTTATAATACTACATGAATCACCCTCTGGTAGACTTTTTTTTAATCTACTTTTGGAGAAAATTGCTTTTTGGCCTGTTTTAATGAGTCTTTTTTCTGGCCTGAGGCATCTTACTTGCTCAGATATTACACTGGATATATACCTATTACACAAAACTTGCTCAATATCAGCAGTCTGCAAACAGGCATAACTGTGACGACTATTCATGTATTTTTGTAACAGTGTGTTTTCTGCATTTAAATGAAACCATCATGTTAACTAGAACTTCTAGGAGGTACTATGCAGCATCAACTGAGAGGGAAAGCCTAAAGCAATCCTTGTTCCTTAGATATGTAGACTCTAATACCAAAGGGATACACACTCTCTGTTCAGGATCCGTCACCCTAAGTCTAAACTAAACATGCATACAAATAATGAAAACTCCTGGGTGCTCTAACAGAGGCCAGAACTCCACTGAATTATCATCCTTCCCTAGCACTGACCACACTGAACATTGCCTTGACAGTCTTCCACACCTGGCAAGAGTCACCACTGCCAGAGGGTCTCGTATTTGAAGACCTCCCACTGTTTTCTTGGTCTGAAATATCCACCATGTGGGGAGAGTGCTCACAATCTTGCTTGGGCAGCTGAATCTTTCCTCTCAAGTCAAGAAAAAACCTTTTAGTCATGGCAGAGATCGAGCAATAAAGAAAGTTTGTATGTTACACCTATGGGAAATACGGACTCTGAGCCATTACACAAGACATCCAGTCAGTCTCTACCATTATAGTTAATTTTCATTTCCCTTTGTAACATTGTTAGAAGTACCCAGGAGTTACGGATTCCTTGCAAAAGGCTTTGTTTGAATAAGAATGACTCACCTGATGATTAATGGATTTTCACTCTTATCTGTCATCTTCTGCTCATTTACACCATAGGTTTCCTTAAACAAACCAGGAATAGATTATATAAAAAAATAAAATTCAGCATCTTGCAAAGATGGTAATTGTGTGTGTATTTTATGCAGAGTATGTCTAACGCTTGCTCAAATAAAATGAAAGTGCGCCTATAAATTTATTCCCTGCCAGCACATCCACCACTGCATCTGGTACACACATAGAAAAGGAAAAAAGATGTGAAAAAAAAATTTTTTTGCTTTCAACTGCTTTCACTCAGTTGAATAAAGCTCCCCTCATTGATATATATTTCTAGTAGCTCTGATAGCGTTGCAAAACTAAAGCATCTGTGTGAAACCTCAGTTTCTTTGAACATTGGTAGCAGCGTTTCTTTAAAACTCTAAGATGGTCAGAATTTTTATTTTGTGCTGAGAAGAGCCATATTCCTACCCTTGCTTAGTGTGCCCAGATTGCTGATGCTGTCCATTCCTTCTGACTCAGAAAGTAAAAACCCAGAGCTCAGTTGTATAGCGTGCTCTCAAGAAACCAATATGAATTTCATCTGCCATTAAGGATGCAGTTTCACATTACAACTAAATTTCTTTTAGGGCTAGCTGCGGCTATTGAGTTAATGTAATACACCGCCAGTATGATGGAGAGGGGAAGAGGCCAATCTTTCATAAAAAGTGCACTGCAAGAGACACCCAGCGTTTTTGCAGGGCTGTAACCAGGACACCAACATACATACAGAGAATGCACACACTAAAAGAAACCGGAGCAGAAAATAAAGACAGCTTCAAAGAAGTGAAATGTTGCAGCTATACAGGTATGATGAAGTAAGCCTTGAAGTTACAATAGATTTAACTGTAGCATTAGGTACTCCTTTCTGTGTTTGTTCAACGTTCAGTAAGGTCAGTTCCATACATTTAGGAGAGTTCAGTAAAGCTTTTCAGCTATGCCTGGTTTTGGTGCTAAAATTATTAGAAGTCCCAGGGCTTTTGTATTATCACAGAGCTTTGGATATGTAGTAGACCCTTTTATGGTATGTGAACTTTTGGAGTTTAAGAGAAATGGAGAAACAAGGATAGGTAAATTGCCACAGACTTACCTCCTCAGAAGTATTAGGAGATTTTTTTCGGAGGTAAATGTTGGAATCGCTGTCACTGGTTCTGAAATATATGTAAAAGCAAAGTTTTTAAATTCATAAAGCTAAGTTTTGTTTTGACTTCAGAGAGAGCCACTGCAATTGCACATGCTAGTTTGAAGCTATGCAAAACCACAAATATGCATTGTTACAAGTATTAGAATATGGACTTGAATTTATCAGTAACATTATGAAAAATAGCTTTGGGAAAATCTGACCCACGATAAAGAATCTCTATGCTCAAATTGGAGTCTTTTCTGAAAATGGGATCTGATAGGCTTTTTGCGCCTTTGACATCACTGACAATTAAGTGAGAGTATACCCCCGGTTCTATGGCTGTTTATATAAATAAAAAATTGACAGACCTTGCAGGGAACAGAAAGATTGAAGGAGGCAATGGGTTCTTCTACACAAACTCTTTCAAATTCATTACAGTGCTATAGTGATAAGCATCAACAAATTACAGTTCATGTCCCACTCTAATACGTTACCTAAGAGCTAAATCAGGGCATAAGAGAGAACAGAAGAGAATGGAGTGTGTCCACTCCAAAATTAGTGGAGTGTGTTGGACATTAGGATTCCACTAATTTTGGAGTGTCCAACCCACTCCATGTCCAAAATTAGCTGAGCGTGTCTGTACTGGGTCTGGCTGGGGTGCAGTTAACTTTCCCTCTAGCAGCCCTTCTAGTGCTGTGCTTTGTATTTGTAGCCAGAACGGTGCTGATAACGCACCAGTGTGTCAGCTGACCCAAACTGACCAAAGGGATATTCCATACCAGATGAAAACATCTAAGAAAAAGGAGGAAGCTGGCAGAGGGAGGGACACACATACACATTCCTTATTAAGGCATTTGTCTTCTGAGGCAACCACTACACCTACTGAGGCCCTACTTCCCAGGAAGTGGCTGGATATTGCCTGCTGATGGGAAGTAGAGAATAAATATTTTCTTTTTCTTTTGGTCTTCTTTTGCTTCGTTTCCACATGTGGCCTTTGCTTTTTTTCATTAAACTGCCTTTACCTTGACTCATAAGTTTTTCATCTTATTTTCTCCCTCCATTCTGCTGAGGATGGGGAGTGAGAGAGTGGCTTGGTGGGCAGCTGGTGGCCAGCCAAGGTCAACCTATCCCAGTGTTGTTCACTTGTTCAGAGATAGAAAAAAGGCCAGCAAATATCTGTAGGAATGAATATTTCATCTACGTTACAGAACACTCGGTTGGAAAAACAGTTGTAACACTGCCATGTTCAAAATGCACTGAGGTTCCAGTTGGGTTTTGCACAGCAAAGCTTGTATAGCAAAGTCAAATCAAGTCCCTTTGGCACCAAATCACTCAACGTGTTTAAGTTAAACACAGGAAGAAGCCAAGGAGTCCAATACACTGCTCCTAAAAGAAGTCTACAAGAAACACCAAATGAACAGGGCACACTTCAAAAGACCATGCATTCATACTAGTTAGGTGTATTTAAGACAAAGTTAATGTGAAATACCTGATAAATTCCTGACAATCAGCAATTGCTTCCAGTTTATCTTCTGACAGAGCAGTAGTGGCAACTTCTGAGATCTGCAGGTCTTCTGCTTTTATGATATTTTTCCCTTCTTCCTCCCTATTACTACTGTTTTCTGGTGTCTTTATGGCTATTGATAAATCCTCTAGATGTTCTACTATGGCCTGCTGAAATTAAGAAATGTTCTGCATTAGACAACAAGACTGTTTCCCTGCCCTTCTAAATATCTTAGTGGTGTAGCCTACTCAGATGCTAAATTGTATGTAGCGCAAGATTGAAGGTCTCACTAATGAGAATAAAAAGCAATTCATTTCTTGAAAATCATTTTGGATACATTGAGCTATAATGTATCATCAGTTCAACACACATACAATTAGTCGTCAGTTCTTTTTATATAAGAAGTCTTGACATGACATGACTCTTTGAAGTAATCTGCTAAGGCTTTTTTTAATCTATCTCAAATTGAAGCTAACAGCAAATTGACTTCATTACTCTAGTAAGTGGCAGGACCAAAACATGTCCAAGCAACTTGTCTAAGTAACATATAGAGTAACATTAAATGGACACTCATTCCTGAAAAACACTGTCTAAAATTACTGCGTTAGAAAACTTTTAAGACAATTCAAAATCGGTGTCTGCGAGAAGAGATGCAGCAGCAAAATGCCTAAATCCAATACACAGAATAATTACCAAAAATCACCCTTTTCTCTTCCTCCAGTGTAGACAAGCCTTCATTCTACCCACGTCATTTATCCTACTCAAATTGGTTTAGGTTTTCGTAGGCAAACTTACCTGCATTCAGACAAAAATTACCCTTGCCTGCATCCTTTCTGTATCAGCAATACTACTTTCTGTTCATCTCATTACAAATTATTGAAAAACCCATCTGTGACCATCTTTTATGCCTAAGGATTATACAGGAGCTTCAAACTACTTTAAAACATAATTAAAATTCATATTTTTGCAGTACTATTAGTATTAGAGCTTATTCTCTCTTTTAATGTCAGATCTTCTCAGGGATCTGCAATTCCCTTCATTCCAGTAGAGGGCTGTGGCAAACAGCTTTACTGGACAGGAAACCAAGCATATTTTACATATTTCTCCAAAGCATTGCAAAACAAAAGCAAATGAAAACCATTAAGGTCAGATGCTAATCCTCCATATATATGCAACGAAATGCTGGTAATAAAAAAATAAAATACCTCAGGATGTTGTGGAATGGTGGAATCTTGATAGTTGGTGGCCTTTTTGCCATCTTTTTCAATTTCTAACTCTTCTCCTACTAGTAATGGCACTTCTTTTTCATCGGAAGAATTCATGTGACTGTTAATATCTGTTGTTTCCTCCTCCCCATTCTCAGTATCCATTTCTGATGGAGGGACACCTAGCTTATTCCCTAAGTCTGGCTCTGGAGCATCTTCCTTGTAGTTCTGTTCTGGTAAGCCCTTCACATGTAAAACATCCATTACTGTTTCAGAAGAAGCTTTGTCATTTCCAGTATCATAACCTTCAATACAAGGCTCAAGGTAAGCATCCAAAACTGCTGATATGGGAACATTATAATGTGGGTAATAAAAGAGATCATGGGGTATTACAGATACTTTCGAAGAACTGGAGAGCACTTCAACTGAAGACTCAAATTCATCACAGCTGTCTGGGTCCTCTGGATTTCTAGATACATATGAGAGAGAGTCATCATATGTTTCATGCTGTGTAGATGGTTCTTGGCTTTTGAGATTAGAACCATTCAGTGAACAATGATTAGTTTCTGTTGCCTCAAAGACAGGTGATTGCTTTGTATGTTCATTTTCTGGAAGTTTCAGTATTTCCTCGTTCAGCAGATGAAGAACATACTTATGTGTGTCATCTTGTTTTGAGGTATCTTCTGGTAAAAGAATTGGAGTTTGGGGTTTGCTCTCTTCTACTCTATTTATAGATTCATCTGTAAGTATGCCTGAAGTCCAGGATAATGGACTCAAAGAAGAAGTATTGGCTGAAAAGCTCTTAGTTTCATTGTCATATTCAGTAGAGGATTCTTTAGTTAATTCTTCAGAGTAGTCTTCAAAAGAGTTGACAGAATTTTTCTGATCTGTCAGAACAGCTGGAGAAAGGTCATCATTCTGTTTCAGTGGATCATCAGATATGCCTCCTTCACCTGGCACGAATTTATCACTTAGAACCTCCCAAGAGGAACTAGATTCAAAACTGACAGATCCTGTAATGTTAAGTGAGGTAGGCCTCTGAGGCTCCTCTTCAGATGTTTCCTGTGCATCATCTGACACTTGACTTGATTTCCCATTACATTTTTCAGGAATGGTTTCTGATGGGATTCTCTCAGGTGCATCATCAATATGAACCTTTGGAGGAGCAGGATGACTCCTTTCATGATTAACAGTATACATGTTTTCTTCACTTTCCCTTAAAATCAAGATTTTGCCTTCCTTTTCTGAAGGTGTGTCTTTGATGTGGACGTACGTGGATTCAATTGGAAGCTCCTTGTCAGGATCTATAAAGTCTTCCTATAAGCGATGATACAACATTAAAAGACAAATCATACCTCAGACACCATTTTACTTTTTCCAGGCACTACAGAAAGAGTAACTAGGTAGCCCATCACCTCATTACCTTGTGAATGGCCAATTGATGACTCACTTATTTTGAAAGTAAGGAAACCAATTTGGCAAGTCAAGTGAGTTGAACAAAGCTCAATGTCAAGAAGCCACTTGTACAGGAAGATTAGAATACAGACAAGCCTATTCCTCAGTTGTTAATGTATTCATCTCTCCCTGCTGCACCTGTGGAGACAACTGACTTGGCTTTTTGACACAATCCCAAACCATGGGGATAAAATAAATCTAACAAGTCCGTTAAATCCACTGTTAAATATATTAATATACTAGATTATTCCATTCCAATTTAAATTTAAAAAAAGAAAAATTTTTTTTTTAAAAAGTAGGCTTTTTTTTTATTAAAATGCCCACAAATCCTAATGCCAACAAATCTTACTGCTCATCTAATCTAATAATCATAATTAGATTACTATAATAATTCTAACTCTAGTAACTTTAGTAATGCCCACCAATTTTATAAGCTACAAAATACACACCAACTGGAGCATTCAGTCAAGAAATGAGAGGAAATGCCTTTCATGTAGGAACCATCATTTATGTGCATGTACTCTAATACAAAAACTTACCCAGATACTCGAGGGACACAGAGTCCCTTGGGAACCCTTTCAAAGCAAAAAGACTACGTTGAACTAGGTTTGTCTGGAAGTATGAGCAGCCTCCAGAACAGTTTGACAGCTTATGCAGATCTCTTCTCCAGTTCCTGAGACTTCCCATTTTTTCTTCAGTTTTCTGTCTCCTATCCTTTATAATTCCTCTATAAGTTTATCCTGTTTCTCCAAAACACCTCTGTCAATCCCTGACACTGTCAGTCCCTACTTGCTCCTCAATTCTTCGTTTTTGATGAAATCTGCATTAAAGTCCTATTCCTTTAGCTGCAGTTTATTAGTGCTTTTGACTGCTGCGTCGACAACATTCAGCCTCTGGTATCTTGTGTCTGACCTGCTACATTCAGGTTGATTGTGGCCCTCAAACTTGAGAAGACAGAAGTCAAAATGAAATTCAAAGTCCAACGAATCATGATAGATGAAGGGATAAATTTCAGCCTTATTCTGAGACTAATATAGCAAAGTAGTAGAACCCTATGTAACCAATTCTAACCTCTGAAAGTTATAGCTGGATGCAGATTTTTAAAAGTACTATTCTACCTAAAGCATTTTAGCAATCGCCAATGAAAGCCTATTTGACTGGGTTTAATAAAAGGATGAAAAATTAAAACTGAGTTTGTGGTTTATTTTAAACAGTTTAGAAAGAAAACTAGAAGATAAATACAGCAATATCTGACATGTTAAGTATGGCAAAACAAATTTAAAAAATGATGTGATGTAGGAGTAAACACATACCCCTTCCAGCTCCGGGAAGTGCTCCAGAAATTGTGCCACGTACGTCACAATTGACTGTTCATCAGGTGATTCCACCATGATATCTATGGAGACAGATGGAAGGGGCTTGAGCACACATGACTTTAAAATGCCCTTCCAGAGGAACAGATCATCAGACATTTATCCTGCCTTTATGATGAGAGAAATAACAGCTACAAATGCATTTCTTTTTCTGACAATCAGAGAGAATGGTCCTTTTCATCTTTCATGGTACTCAAAAGTTCTTAACATCTTACTCACATTAATTTTTCCCTATTTCCAAACACATACCGAACCCTGATCAGAATCCCTTTTCATCCACCTTCGTACTGTCATTAGACAGTGATCTTGCTGAGTGACAGCAGAGGTTTACTTTTCCACTCTTCTACCAGGTGACCAGTGAAAGCACAAATAACCAATCTGTGCTTTCAGTCATAAAATCAAGGCCTAATACCTGTCTAGTAGAGTTCAGTAGAAAAGACTGCAAGAAGCAGCTCCATTTATATACATATATTTATATACAAACATGTATGCTTATATTTACATATATAAATATATATATATGTGTATATATGCATTGTAAAGAAGAAAACTGGAAGATGCAAATACATTTGAATAGGTATCTACCCATTTTGCTGGTATGGCAGACTCACATACTTCATCCTGGAGTGACATTTAGTCTCTACAGACTGTAGGCATTACGAACTGGTGCTAACCTACTGAGACACCTCTTGGCATAACAGAGTGGTGATTAATGCCCACTAGTAATGCAGATGTCACACAGCATCTAAACATTAACCTGGACCAGTGTACATAGCTAAAACTATGGTAAGATCTCTGCTCCCCAGGAGCTTACAAATATGATACAACCACGACCCAGTTACCAACTCATTTTTATATTTCTTATCAATCAGCCCAACACGCTGATCACATCGACAGCCTAATCACTGGGAGGTATTACAATACAATATTCATGAATTCATTATAGTTTGAATGTTACCCAACGAAGTTGATGTAGGTGTTTTACCTTCTGGTTCTAGGAGCCGAGGAACACCCAGCTTATTTTGTGCTATGCTGAAAGCATCCTCCAAGTTTTCTCGAGCTGATTTCTCCAGTGCTTGCTTCATGTCTACCAGAGTCGAGTCTATTGCTTTTATGACAGCTAAGAAAGCAAGGCCACTCCTCCAACTGCTGGCAAAGTCCTGAACTGCAACACCGTACCTAAACAGAATGACATATTTACATGGGTGGTTGTGTTACAAAATCCAAAGCAAAGGCATCATCATTTTCCAAGACTCCTGAAAGTTAAAAGTAAGGTTGCTCAGTTGCACTTGTCACATTTGAGATCTTTTTGGATTTCAAAATGCACAAAATATGTCCATAAAACACAGGGATTCACAAACTGGATCGGTGTGGATAACAGCTGACATCAACCTGCTTGTAGGAAGTCATTAGTAAAAACAAAGCCCTCAAGAACTCAGCAACAACATTTAATGTTCACAAAAGCAAATGTCTCTGTGATTCCTGTTTCTGTTGCTCTCCAGCATTTGAATGCCATAGCTTGGGAAGACTGCCAACACTTAAGTATTGAAAAACATAAGCATAAATGATTCACATTCCTGTGTACTTGGCCTTCTACAGCAGAAAATTGGGCTTTGCCAAATGCAAATGGCGTCAGTATATGCATAAACCACAAGTGTGTTAGATGCCCAGAGTTTTAGAGGAAAAAACAACCATCCAACTTGCAATGAAATACAGACCCAGAATAGAAAATTCTGCACAGGTCATTGGATAACAAGATTATAATGACGCTATTCTGGTTTTAATAGTGCAGTTGCAAGAACAGTTTTCTCCTATTAGATGTTTTCAATTTGTACTCTTTGCTGGACTGAAAAGTCTATGGCGTTTACTTCTCTGGTCTTCACTTTCCTTACACCACCTCCCTGTTAATGACATGATCAGCATTAATTTGGGACTAAAACTGTGCTTCCTCTACGCTTTGCGCTGGCAGCAGTGAACTACGGTTCTCAATGGAGTGAGTTTATCTGCACAAGCACCCTTAGCTTCACTGGAGATAACCAAGGGATGATGTCGCCCACAGGACCAAGTATTTAAGATGTAAATTTGTATCATCTTCAACACTAGACACAGAACATTTGTGTTCACAGGCAGATTTGGACATGTAAGTCCATCAACAGATAAAAATGCCAAATATTCAGCTATGCAACTTGTACAACTAAGTTTGACCCATGCCCTCTTTAAAACTCTGACAGTCAGAAAACAATATACGTAAAATACACTCCAAGCATTTACACGTGCACTAGACATCTCACACTGAAGTTTTTCAACCCAACAGTAACTCTGCCACCTTAAAGCATTACTAGACAAAATGCTTTGGCGGAAGAAGTGCTTTTTTATTAAATAGGAGAGAGATGTGTTGAGCAACAGAAATGGACCCAAATGTTACACGTTCTTGAGAAGCAACCTAAGATTCACCCCTTCCCCTCTTTAGTTCTGAGAAAAGAGGGACCATCACAGGGGCTCTGTCCTTCGAGGCACTCTGCAGCACACCGAGAAGCTCCCTCGGGGCTGCTGCTTAATTCAAAAGGCTGTTGCTAAAGTCTTTCAATATATTTATTTTTTCAGTTCACCCCTTGTTTATGCCTATCCTTTTCATTAGCAAAAGACATCAAACGAACTGCACGAAAGCCAGGGGGCAGGGGGAGGAGGAAACGATCTCGTTTTAAGCAGCGCCAAGCAGATTAGTGCAAGTTAACATTTAACGCTTGGATCACGAAACCAGCGACGCACGTGGCGCCAAGGTCAGGTGGCCACTGCTGGCACAGGGCCGTAGTGAGGCACCCCCTGCAGAGATTGCACGCCTGCAGACTTCCAAAGCATGGTAGTGCACACACCAGGAACGAGAGAGAAAAGAGCTTCAGCTTCAAAAGTGCAGGTGGCAAAATATGGTTTCCCATGAGGGTTTGTGAGCTTACTTTCTGGTTTTCCTCTGCACCCAGATTAAAAGGGCTCTGATGGCTTTCCGCTGATCCTTCACTGTAATGGACACATTTCTCTCCACACTGGGAGTGCTGGGGTGGGATGTGTCTGACTCCGGACCGCTGGGCCCGGAGGACAGGCTGGAGGAGGAGGAGTTCCTGTTGAGGTTGCCTGTCAGCTCCTTAATCTGTAAAAAAAGGTGAAACACACAGTGCTGTGGTTTAGCACCGGCTGCACGGGGAACTCAGTGCTTGTTTTCATGCAAACTTTAAAGATAACAGCACCATAAGTGAATTTTTAGAGGTAATCACAGGGTTGTCCATTATAACTCTCGACTTGTATTGCGCAGGCGCGATGGCCAGCAGCAGCCCAGCTGGCGATCCCAGGAACCAGACAGGGCAAGGTGTCAGTTAAGGCTGAACTCAGTGAACTTGTATTAAACAAAAAGCAAAGCAGCATGTCCTTGAAAGAAAAGCTAGTCTAATTGAAATCGTTCTTTCTCTTCACAGGACTCGCTTGAGTGAAATATTTTTAGTCAAGAAACGGTGACCAGCAGTAGCACTCCTGTCCTTGGTCAGTACTGATATCTGAGTCCAAATTAGCCACTCTGCTGCTCCCCATGCCCTCTGCTGCCAGGGTGGCAGATTCTGGTTGCACCATCTCTGCCCACAAGTCCGTCTGGCCAAATTGGTGCTGTGAAGCGCTCTTCAGATTGAGAAATCTCAGTGCAACTTCAAGATTATTTTTTAAACCTGTAGCCATTTTTAGAAATGAGTCCAAGAGAACAAAAGAGCCTCATAATCTTAGGAGATTTGCAGAAACCCTCCCTTTATCTCTATCTGTTCATTAGAATTTGGTACTGTCTAGATGGATGTTTTCAAAATAGGTGTAGATTAGGGAGCAGTTTTAATCTAAGCCCGGCACTAAATCAGTTTTCAGGCTCCAATCAGTTTTATCAGTTCTAGGCCCTTCAATATCTTTCATTTGGCCCTCCACATCAGTTGCAAATTTTTGCCACGTTGACTAAGTCTCCAGAGATCAGTGATTCTACATGGAATTTCCCACATTGGACCAAATCCAGAAAAGGTTATTGAAAATAGACTGTGACCTGGAACCAAACCCGAGACCTTGGTTCAGATCCAAGGAATCTGGAGCAAAACCCTGAGAAGACACAGAAGAGAAGGGAAAATAGTAATCTGAAGCTCTAATTCTGGTCCAAGTCAAACAAGGGCTTAAATTATCTCCTATTTACACCAAAATAGGTCCAGTGAAGTAAAATGAAAGCAGCTGCAGGTATAAAATTAGTGTATATTAAGAGGGAAAAGCTCAGGTTTAGCATGTTTAATTATATTCTTTAGGATTAAAAATCAATTTAAAAAACAGTATTCAGATGGAATAGATTGATACCATGAAGACTGTTCACTTTTGATTAAAGTATTCAAGTTTTATTACCTGAAAAAACAGGATTATATTCCATATTAGTCCAAGCACCAGAGAGGAATTTCCATCTGCTATTTCCGCTGCATCAATGCTAACAAGCTTTACCTGTAGAAGAGATCACAAATTCGGAGCTGAATTCAAAGAAGCAAGGTAAATGCAAAAAATGCACTGAGACTACTGGATATGTCCAGAACAGTTCTGCCACTGACTGGCCAGCCAAAAAGCAAGACTGAAATCTTGTGCTAATTATAATTTGCCCTGATCACAACCACCCTGCTCATTGAACTGTTATCTCAAGCCCCCCTAGCATAGTCTGCAGAACAGAAGCGAGCCCAGTTCTGCATCCTCAGGATCACAAATGTGTTTCCTCCATACTAAAATGTAACGAGATGGTGCCCCCTCCAGTGGATCTCATTCTTAAAAAGCAGAGAGTCACTTCTCGTACAAAAATTAAAATCCTATTAAGATCTGCTTACTTCTGTTTTGCTATACATCTCCTTTCTCCTTGCTTATCTCACCTTACACAGCTTGTCACGGAGTTCTGATTAAATCAGTTAGCAAAGGATAGAGTTGCCTAATCCAAGCAAACTCGACTTTCCCACACTGAGGTTTCTTCTACCTGATAACACCAGGATGTTATTCTCTTAGACAACACAGACTTGGTTTTGGCAAAGGTCACAGAGGAGGGAGGAAGCAAGGAAGCTGTCAGTACCACACATGGCACCCAGACTGAGTTAAAGCCCAGCATACAGCCCATTTATCACTAAGAAATCCTGTACATGACGAATCACTTAGCAGTACTTTAGCCTGCTGCCCCACTTCCACAGAAGCGTACGGTGACGGGTTCCACCCACTGTGGTTTAATATCTAACCCCGAAGCTCCTGGCAGCCAAGGCATTTTGCCAACACTTTCATCATCACCCTTTACTAACCGGTTTGGTTAAACTGAAAAAAGGAAAGCAAAATAACTTTTTATCTAGTGGTTCGCACAGTAGTTTTTAATCTTAGCAAGAAGACACCTCTAGCTGTCATATTTCGAGGCTTAGATTTCTTGCTAGCTCCAAGTTATTTGCCATGGGGAAACCTTTAAGACCTAGTACATTTTAACGGCAGTTTCTCCAAAATGGGGAGCAAGTGGCATTTAACATTAGACTGCTCTCAGTGTCAGCTCTGTCCTCTTACTGCTGCTTATGTTTGTCACCCAGCCCAGTAGAGATACCTGGCTATAAGATACTGGCTGCTTACTCTTAAGGAAACAAGAAATCCATAGAAAAGTAGGTGGTTTAGCGCTACTAAGTAAAAGTCTGCCTGTGTCCAAGGCTCCTCCTGTCTGCCCTTGCTCATTGAGTTTCTCGCTTCTTCCTTAGCAAGGTCCCAGCAAACAGACACACTTCAGCTGCAGCTCTGCAACGCATTGGTATCAGCAGAGAGAAAAAAAACTCATCTGCCAGTGGGACTTAGCTGGATTTGGGTAGAAAGCAACTGGGAAACTGTTAAGAAATCTGAGAACTTGTAAAATATTTCTTAGCAGTTCTATAGCAGGACATGTAGACATACACATCTAGGGCCAGAGCAGCCCTTACTGGTGGACTTTCCAAAAGGAGATTGGAACATCTGGAAGTGTGGATTTAGAATAAAGCCCTAATGGGAGAAATCCAAAAAGAAAAATGATAATTGAACCATTTCAAGCTAGAAGGTCTGATATTGCTTGGTCACTTACAATTTTAGGAAGTGATGTTGCAGTGCCACACTGGCTATGAGGGAAGTTATATCCTGTATTAAGCATTTATGTCATGTTCCCAGATTCAATTTTCTTTTGCCTTTGACTCATGATCAGCTGCTGCAGCAGTTTACAAGATAAATACATGTTTTTAATACTGTAAGTATTTCTGATGAAAGGAAGGAAAGTCATCTACCTTCAGCATAACCGAAGTAATGCCACTAAGACCTAGTTCATAAAGATTACTTGCATTTCTTTTTCTTTTCTTTTAATATTGGGTTCCTAATCCTTTAATCCTGTTGAACTTTTACATTATAAAATGAACAAATAATCCTCGTTTTAGACTCTGTAAGTGTTCTCGTTGAGCATTTTTATGTGGCTTTTGAGCCTTGCTAAGGTAAGTCACAGTGCCTTTAAGCAGTGCATTGCTCCTGTGTACATGCAGTGCATCAGACTAGTTACAATTACAACAACCACAATTTGCAACATATATCAAGAGGAGGTATCAAGACCAGCCTTTGGAAATACTCACATTACTGTCCTCCAAGAACTTAAGTGCTTTGGCTATGTTGTTCAAACGAAAAATGCGATGGGTTGAAGATTTGTATTCGTGCATCTAGAAAAAAATAAGAGCCATGCTGTTTTTAAAAATAGTGGAGTTATTCACCATGTCACACACAGCTTAAAAACCTACAAACACAGAAGCTAAACAAAGCTAAAGAAATCTACCTATATAAAATTATTGCCATCTTTTCTGATCAGTGAAGTGCTTCAACTACATGATCTGCCCTTGCTGTAGCAAAACAGGGTTAGCAACCAGCTTTCCTGCTCTCCAGATGTTATCATTCTCTTGGACCTGCCACGTTGATTATTTATGTAATCACTCCCCAACCATATGCAGTCACAGGATCAAATTTACCTAAAAATTCACAGTAACAGATTTTTTTTTTTTTTTTGTCTTGAATTAAATTCAAGGATTCCTGATTAGGAAGCATGAACAGTTTTCGTAGCAGGCACAGGAAGGTGGGAGGCAGAAACCTTCACTTTGGTAGAGATGAAACAGACTGTTGCATGCCTGTCTCCCTGCAATTCCACTTTGGCACACTGCTTTTATCACATGTGTGCAGGAACATTTCACTGCCAGCACAACAAGTTTGGCCAGCTGACCTTACCTCCTCCCTTGCCCTTCTCCCTGACCTTCCAGGGCATATAGCTCAGGATTTACTGTAATGTCCTTTCCAGGCTGGCTCTCAATGTGATCTGTATGAATGCACACACAGACTCTGCTGCTTCTGCTACAGCTCCCCAAAACTGCAAGAATATTAAAAAATAGGCAGTTCCGAATGTGTCACCACAGCGGACATTCATTCTGCAGTATGTAGATGGTTCAGTCACTATAGAGCATCACCAGGTGATTGCAAGTGCATCTGCAGCAGTGAGATGGCTGCAGAACAGGTCTCTCCTCTTACCCAAGTGTGATACTCACACAGAAGAGAGTACTTGCTGACAAGATTGATGTAGAAAGAAAACATTACAGTCAACTGTAATCAGTCATTTATATTTGCACTGGGCGTTTCCACTTCTAGTATGTGGAACTTTATACACCTCTTACAAAGAAAGGAGGAGAGAAGACAACTCCGGTGAGACTTTGCCCTTCAGACTTAGACCATATCAGTATGACTACTTAAACCTGAACCAGGATACCAGAACTAAACTCACAACTACACCAAGCACTAGCAGACCTATTAAGTGTCATTAGACAAAACAGAAACATAATTTATGGATTAAAAAATAATACAAGCAAATATATCTCTTCTTGGTAATGTGACTTGGATGATCTCCAAATGGAGTATGTGAGCATTAACATATTAAAACCTTAAAAAAACTGAGGGGTAGGAACATTTACACTAATCACACACCATTTACACCATAGTTATATATTTATGTATATAGTTTTATATATATATGTATATAGTTACATATAGTTATATATGTGTGTGTGTGTATATGCGGTCTTACGAGAGCAGAGTAGAGGGGTAGAATCACCTCCCTCGACCTGCTGGCCACACTTCTTTGGATGCAGCCCAGGATACGGTTGGCTTTCTGGGCTGCCAGTGCACATACATCACTATATACATACACAGTATATATATACACACATATATATATATAATTCTATTATTTCCTTGAAACCTAAGTTACAACTCAGGACACCAGCCTGTAACATAAGGAAATTACAATGAAGTTGCTGAAACGCGTATTACTATACTTCAACAAGTCAAAATGCAAGGTCCTTCACCTGGGTCGGGCCAATCCTAGGCACAAATACAAACTGGGCACAGAGTGGGTTGAGACTAGCCCTGAAAAGAAGGATTTGGGGGTGTTTATAGATGAGAAGCTCAACATGAGCCGGCAGTGCGCTCATGCGGCCCAGAAGGCCAACTGCATCCTGGGATGTACCAAGAGAAGCGTGGTCAGCAGGTCAAGAGAGGTGATTCTCCCCCTCTACTCTGGTCTTGTGAGACCCCACCTCAAATACTGTGTCCAGTTCTGGTGTCCCCACCATAAGAGAGACATAGATCTGTTGGAGCGTGTTCAGAGGAAGGCCACAAAGATGATCAGGGGCTGGAGCACCTCTGCTATGAGGACAGGTTGCGGGAGCTGGGATTGTTCAGCCTTGAAAAGAGAAGACTTCGGGGGGGACCTAAAAGCTGCCTTCCAATACCTGAAGGGAACTTACAGGAAGGCTGGGGAGGGACTTTTTACAAGAGTGTTGACTGATAGGACATGGGGAAATGGGTTTAAGTTGAAGGAGAACATATTTAGATTAGATCTTAGGAAGAAATTCTTCAGTACGAGGGTGGTGAGACTTTGGAATAAATTGCCCAGAGAAGTTGTGGATGCCCCCTCCCTGGAGGGGTTCAAGGCCAGGTTAGACAGAGCCTTGAGTAGCCTGATCTAGTTGAGAGGCATCCCTGCCCATGACAGGGAGGTTGGATTAGATGATCTCTAAGGTCCCTTCCAGCCTATGCCGTTCTATGATTCTATACCCAAGACGTGGCACCAAATTCACCATTATTCCTTGGATGTCCATACATTGTTGCTTGGAACACACAGAGTTCCATGCCTACAGAGGTTTCTCCCTCTCATATACATACCAGCTTTTGTCCTGACAGGACTTCCAGTAGTGCCATCAAGATTTTGCCATCTTGTATATCAATAAATAAGTCTCTCACTTTCAGAGGAGGCTTGCACTGTGAAGAAAAGAAATGAGGTGTTAAAGCAGTGCTGCTTGGTATGTCATCATGATTTCAGAGAGTAAGAAAGAGAGTTTTACAAGACAGAGATACTAGAAATAAATCTTAGCCTGCAGGAAGAAAGGGCTGACTTTTCTTCACATCAGTGGCAATTCTGTCTTAGGAATGTTTGAGCTAAAACTGAGATATAGTACTCATGTAATTGAGATCAGACAAGGACTTATTCCAGATTTCCCATAAAAGACTCTCACGCTAAATATTCTGCTGAGGAAGCAACTACCCAAGGGTTGGGTGCTGATCCCTCAGATTAAGTCTCCTGCTGAAATAAGTCCGAGATCCAGCCAGCCCAATGTCCTGTCTCCTCTGTAGGGTTCCTGGCGGTGCCATTCCGTTTCCCAGTATTTTCAAAGTACTTTAAATAGCAGCTTCTTGTACTGTGTCTCTCTCTTCTCAGCAAACTCCTCCAAAGGGAACCATCTCTTCACCAAGGTGTCGGATGATGAGTGCGCTGTGAGGCATGCTGCCAAGGCAGCTCAGCCCTCAGGGGAAGTCTCAGCTGCAGCAATTACGGTCTGTTCAGGTGTCACTCACTCACGTGTCCCTAAAGAGCCAAATCTTTTTATCTTTGGTTGAGCAATGCACTACTGTTCAATTAAGCACTGCTTCTGGCAAACTGGGACCATACATTTTTGTTACTAGTCTTTAATCTAGCCAAGAGTGCTAAACAATACTCCATACTGAAAGAAGGAAAAGTATAATTCATTTCAAGATTAAATGACCTATCTGAACGCCTCAAACCCAAACCGTTTTTATTCTTTCATTACTTTAGACAACAACCACCAGAAGTCAGAAGATGCAGACTACTCCCAGCTATCCCATGACCAGCAGAGTCAGCTCCTCTTAAAAGATGACCCAAAAGGGACGGTCTGCTCCAAAAGGAGATATACACCATAAGTTTCCTGAAGAAGTACAAGAAGACAACTTCACTCCTGCCCTTAAAAGAATGAAGCCACTCTGCAAGAAGTGCTTCTTTAAGGATACAGGCAGAAGCCACCTTTCTCAGTGGGTATCCTCAGGGAATCACGTGAGGATAATTAGAGAGGTCTTCAGCAAAGCTCTTGTCATTTACAGGGATATGTTTATTATGCCACTTCCAGGAAAAACATTAATATAGCAGCAGATTTTTGCCCTTTCTTCAGAAAATCTTTTTTTGGTGTTGAATCACAGAGGAAAAAAATTTGTATGCACTCCAGAGAAAACAGTTTACCTGCCCACAAAGTTTCTAAGACTTCATATGCTTGGCACAGCAGAATTAACAGCACCCTACAGCCTTTTTAATGATATAATTCCTTCTGTAAATCAAAGACCTTCTCCACAGTCATATATTTGACAACCCTTTTTGACAACTTCCAAAATTGCAGTTAGTTTAAAGCCCAAGAGCCTAATTCACAAAGGAATCACGTAACTCTGTCTTCGTTCTGAGGGACCTTTGGGAGCAATTGCTAGTCAAAACATTTCCAGCTAGCCTTATTCTGATTTTCCAGTGAGATTTAAGAGGATCTCCTTATTCCTTTAGCAACACTCACTGCAGAGTAGTGGACTTAAGCAACTACGTATGTGATGCCTTTTTTCTAAAACCCTTTTGCTTTACTATGTCTGAAATGCAATCACTTTCCAAGAACTACAGGAGCTAGACTGAGAGTCAGCTTGTAACCCAAACTTAGTCTCAATCTGTACTTTATGAAATTTAGCCACAGATACTAAGAGCACTGTGAAGCCCAAACTCCAATCCAAGTTAGGACTGTTAGTCTAGGTTAGGAAGCTGGTCTCATTCCTTGATGCTGCACTAAGCATTGCTGCTGTCTCAGTAATACTAAGAAGTTATTTTCTTCTTTCATCCCCAAGAGCAGGAAAATCATTCTCTGGGTGGCAGACTGCTCAGGAGAGTTAGTATGCATCTGTTATCAATAAGAACAGTAAACTAGGCTTAATAGCCAAATTATGATATGATTAAGAAACAATTACATCTTAAAAATATGAAGCGATGTCCAAAAATTAGTTCCCTAACATAAGTGGTGGATATGTAAAGATCCTATCATACAGTCCCTCCAAAACATGACTGACAAGGAATTAATGTTTCCCATCTGCATATCTGGGATGAAGCCAGGTTCTGAAGAACATCTGTCTTTGGCCATGATGCCTCAGATGTTCGAACTTCCAGTCCAGGGAAGAACACAGCCATCATCACCTCAGAACAGCCTAAACCACACTTGATTTTATGTGGGTACGTTCTGTGGGAAAATTCTAGCCTCATGATAACAGTCAGTAGCAGTAAAGACTTAAATGCACCTGAGATGAACTAAAGCCAACCAAGCATCCGTTGTGCCTGAAAAGCCATTTTCATTTACCCAGAAACTTGCTTTCACCTTCCCTTCATTCTCCTCCAAACCTCCCCATATGAACAGAAGTCAACTGTATTTTCAAATTTTAACTACTTTAAAATGAATTAACTTCAGTCTGTCTATAGCTGTGTTGCTTTATCTCAATATCAAAACTGTTTGTCAGTCTTACCTTTCCCAAATGTAGGTTTATCCATCTGGTGAATGTCCTTTTCTGTACGTTTTCCCGTTCCACTAGAAATATCAGAAACAAAAAACAGCACTTGAGTTTCCAGAAGAGGGAAAGCTGGTAGGAAATTTCAAAAACTGATGCACAAAAAAGTCAGAATTCGCGAGAGCTCTATGAATAAAGCAAATATACTCCAAATAAGGAGATATAAGGTTGAGCTATGGTGTTTTATTCAATTTCTTTGCCCAGACATCAGCTATAGACTTGCAGATGACTTCTAAAGGATGTAGGAAGAAGTCTCTCTTAGCTTTGCAATCTCCAATGTAGCTTTTGTGCTACATTGAGATTTATATGTTGTGCGCAGCTCTCTGGTGATGTTAGATTCTAAGCAGGCAGCTTGACCCTTCTATGTCAATTTATAGGATTATGCCTCTGACACCCTCATGCAAATGAGGCTGTCGTGGATTCCAATGTGCTTAGTTGCATGCACAAGGAAACAGGACCGCATTAGCCAATGCAACAATTTTGCCTGCATTCTTACGAATGGAAAAGGCTCATCAAATCTCATCTTCCCAATCTCCTAACTAGTGCATTAAGAATCAAAACTGCAAGACCCTACATTGAAGAATCATTTTATTTATATTGCAAGAAGATGAGGAGTGCTCATTCCTTGCCAGAAGGGCTCTATGCTAGGCGCTGTACAAACAGCTCTTGGGCCAGCTGAAGTGTTTTTAATCACATCTGCCATTTCCTGAATCCATTTCCATAGTGAACTACAGCAAAAGTGTAAGGGGAATCATATTACTGACCAACTTACATTTACCTTCTAATATAAAAAAGTAAAGCGTATATTTAATATAAATGATGTAGACTGACAAAGCAATATTTCATTTTAGAGACAATTATTCTCAAGTGGTTCTCAAATTTCACTTGAATTAAGGAAATCTGGCAATTTATGAACAAAAAAACATTTAAACTAGTTATATGCTGTATTTCAATTTACACATAGAGCATATAAAATATATTTTAAAACCATTTGGTGGTTCTTTGGCCCTACAAAAATAGCTAACCTATCTACTGGGAAATCACGTTCTGTAGAAGTCTGATTTGTTTTTATTGGTCAGACTAATTATAGGCTAAGTAGCGGCTTCCATAAATCAAATTTTAATATTGTTCTTTTTGATCATTTTAACTGAAGGGTCAGCAGCCTCTAATCATATGTATAATTGTTTTCCTTATTTTGATGTATTGGAATAGAGCTTTCAGCATGAATTACATCTGTCACTGATGGCCATTCAGGCCTTTTAAGTCCCCTTATTCCTGTAAAACCTGATTTTATGTAAGATTGGTTAAAAAAAGCCATTACCCCTTAAGTGCTTTAGAAAACATGGAAAATGCCAAACTAATTATTGCTGTTGGCTTTTCTTTTAAAATATCTTAGAAGAATGTGCACAGATTTGAAACAGCTCTCTATAAATGAAACTGTAAATTATATTAGGGTTCCAGAATATCTGTAAAAAACCCACAGCATTTACCACCTACAAATCTCAAAGTACAATAAACTACGAGACATGTCACATCTTTCTTGGGCTTCCCTTCCTTCAGCACCTCAACCCCAGAACTGGCTTTCCATGCACTCACGCATCCACAGCTGAGCGGTAGAAGTGCTATGTGTCACCTAGGGTGTAACTTCCATAATCAAACTGTTAAAATTAACTTTTGAGGGTGGGTGGAGGTTAATGTTAAGCCAGATCTGTTTCCAGATACGCTTCTTTTTGTCCAAATACATGTGTTGATGCAAAGGGGAAGGCAGAACGGGTGCAGGAGCTAGCAGCACTCAACGTGGTCACCTCTTTCTTCAGCTTGCCTGAAATGCTCAGGAATGCTCAGATGGGCGGTGCCAGGTTTTGGGGAGGACAGGGGCAGTGCCAGATTTTGGGGAGGACAGGTAACCTTATCAAACAGGATGGCTCTACAGACTTCCAGTGTCGACCAAAATTAAAGAGGAAACACAGAAGGGCATATAGAAGCAAAATTAATGTTTTCTGATTTCATCAGAGGCTTGGTTTCTTGGTTTCTGGTCCTATTTTTCACCAGTCACTTTGGCAACCTTCATTTTCAGGGTAAATAAGGATGCAAAAGAGAGCTGTGTTTATTTGCAGATCATCCATAAATCTGAGCACACATTGGCTCCTAATTTTGCTGCAGAAATTCTGCCATCGATGCAAATTAGAGTTGCACATATGCCTGAAAGGATGAGCAAGCCAAGCTGGTATTACTGCTTCAGGAAACTCGCACACCGAAAAAAATCCAGGCACGTTCAGGAAAGCACTTGCATATATACACATGCTTCTGACACCACTCACTGAACGTTTCTACAGAAAACAGACTCTTACCAGTAAGAACGATGACCCCCACAGTGGACACTATTTGATTCTGTAATAGTCTAAAGCCATAGTAACTGGATGGGGAAGAGGAAAGGGGAGGAAATCTGTTTATAAAAGCCCTAAGGCAGACAGACCCCTAATGCAGTCCATATGCTCACCGGTAGAGTTAATGGGTAAAGTTCAACACAGGTATTTACTGATGTGTGCCTTTAACTGTTATTCTTCTCCAGCTTTGTGGACCTCCCAGTTTCTGTGCAACTCCTCTTCTCCACAACCTTTTCATTTGAGATGATTGTAGAGACTCTATAAACTTTATACAGTTTCTATAAATTAAATGGAATCTTTTTTTCTCCTTCACACCTACTATTGTATAAAAGTGAAGAAAATCATTCAAGTCTAGAGTTCTTATGCTGACGTATATAGTTTACTGAAACTGCACTGAGTTTACTGGGCAGCTAGAGAGCAATAACACCATTATAAAATAATAATTACACACACCATATGGCTGGCCTGCACACAGATCCTATGCTGGAAAAGAAGGATGCCTGCTGTGAGGGTTGGATTCAGACATGTAATGCTGGAAGGCAGTAAAAAGTTAGAAATTGCCATTTTGGTTCAGCTCAGCTCAGACCTTGACATAAGAGAAAAAATTATAAAAAGAAATTTCAACCACCACACAGAAGCTGTCTTCCGTAGTCTTCCAATAAACTCAACTGCAACATGCTTTCACCGTAGGCTCTAAGATGTTGCAGAGACACAGTATTCGTATCAAAGTACACAGTTAAGGCACTGACAGGCATTAGCTGTGATAATTTCAAGGGGGAAAAAACCCTACAGAAGGAAAAAGTGCACTGGTAGGATGATGAGCCTATTGTAACACACAGTTCTTTGCCCCACAACTGCGTTCTAGAGGACAGCAGAATTTGGCTCAGACACGATATCTGCACCCTAGTCAGTTTGCGAATAAATATTGACAAAGACATAGATTCTGGTTTGTCAAATCTTATGGCAAAGGCAACTAATTTGTCACAGAGTAAAACTAAGCTAGTTCAAAACCCACTTGGGCAAATTCAGCGTTAAGCTGTTATGGACAAGAGAGTTTGTCTGCTTCCCTTTGTGACACTACTTCCTTCCCAACCAACTTAGAAATTCCTCAGGCATTTACTGCTAATGTCATTTCTTCTTCCTTCAGATCTCCTCAAAGGTCACTACTGTTGTAATACCTGCAAGAGGCCAATCCCCTAACAGCCTCTACGTTCAACAACAAATTGGAGATAGCAACTATAGATTTGCTTTTAAATACTATTTATTCTGTTGTTGTAGAACCAGTTATGAATAATCCTCTGAGGGACACCACCACGGGGCTGGGCACATGAAGGAACTATGAAACGTGGAAGCTGATGTGAGTGGAACACTTGTCAGTGTGTAATCACCTAGCTTCAGAAAAATGCTTGATTTGCATGTATGGATATTACTCCCAAAGCAAAACAGAAGGTCACTTAAATTTGTTTCCAAAGCTATTAGCGTTTCATCCAGGATATAATCATCAGATGACATTAAAACCTCCACAACAGGCCAAGCTGGCTTTCAGATCGGCTTGCAACTTACCTTCAAGATATCTTGGTAACTACTAGTTTTATAACACGCACAAAAGCCAGCTTCCTCATTTCTACCACAGGTTATAACCTCTATAGATACAAGATACACCTGTTATTAACATAAAGCAAGTTTTCAAGACGGAAGTGGTGGTGTTGGCCACCTAACTATGAAATAGGATGATTTGACTGCCCTTGCTTTCAGAGGCCTGGAGAATCACCCCATATCCACTTCATCAGTAACCAATGGTCACCACAGAACCAGCTCATAACCTGGATGGCTCTGGAGGTATATCCGAGCATCTGCCAAAGTCTTAGATCAGGAGAAAACGGCACATCTTATTAAACCACAAAGATATATGGGCAGATGTATGACACACAAACACTACAGCCTAACTCCAAAATGAAACATGGGGTTCCGACACCCTAAGTCTTGGGAAATGCAAATTCCTGCCCTTCCACCTTCCTCACCCCAAAACCTCAGCTCATACAGCCAAGCAATCTATCAGCCTCTAACAAACACACATTGAACACTCTAATTCTGAGCTACCCAAACTCCAGGCCACTAAATAAAATGAGCACTGAATTTTAAACTGGGCTTCATGGTGCTCCTACACCTTGACTCAGCCTAGGTATTTCTGATTATTAGTCATCATACTATCAAGTTTGAACACTGTTTTCTCTGCAAACTTAATGTTCATGAAGGAAGCCAAACTGACATCTTAGAAAATGGATTTTACCTCCAATTGCTTATTTGCTTCCCACAATATGCCAAGTTTGTGCTACTGTGTCTCAAACACTGAAGAGTGCATTTCCAGGTGTGAAAGCCCATGTTGTTTTTACACATCATGATGAGGCTGCCAGCAATACCATTAGTTAAAGAGAACTTATTAGATTTTTGGTTTCATTAGGTGATTTTATCTTTGCATTGACCCAGACTGATGGCGCTGAGTAGCCAGGCTGAATTTTGGTGTCAAACCAGCAAAAGAGGGTGATGCCTGATGAAGATCTGCCTCAATAAGTTTCTGTATACATTGCAGATGGAACACATGAATCCTAGCATGCTCTTCTACCTTTTTTGTC